CCCCCCCCCCCCCCCCCCCCCCCCCCCCAGTCTGCCACCAATCTCTCTGATTATACCGCGCTCTCCAGGGAGGCGTTGTGTGTGTGTGTGTGTGTGTGTGGGTGTGGGTGGGTGGGCGTGGGGGGTAAAGCTCTGTGGCCTCCCATTAGCTCCAGTTTGTTTAGTCAATAGCAGCAAGTCCCAGTGGTATTTTTAGCCCGCCCCCCCCCCCCCCAGCGGGGCTTTGTGTTGCTGAGGAGGCTGTCATTGTTCCAGCTGACCGCCACTCCTGACCGGCCTCCCTGACGTCCCACTGACCGCTGCACAGGGCCCGGACCCCCTCAGCCGGGGGGGGCCTGTTAGCATGGACAGGGGTTAGGACAGCTGGAGGAAAAGGAACAAATTTATTTATTTATTTTTCAATTTTCAATCTTTATTAAATCCTTCAACAATTAAACATACAGTGAACCCAATGTTGACAATATCACTACTGTGAAGTATACAACCTTAAGTAGTTATACAGAGAAGGATTTGAGTTTTTAACATTTTCCCCCCTGAACCCCTCTCGATCCTCCCGTAGGAACAAATTTATCGATATTGCATTGATGAGCTACAATCAAGAATATCCATCATGCAGTACGACAAGGAATTGTGTAGAACCTTACAAGTTAATTATTTTTTAAAGTTCCCCATATAGCTTCAAATGAGTCAATTGAAAATGTTGTTAAGATCACAAAAGCAGAGCTCATGTGCCTTTTTAGAAAGTCGTTGCCATAAAATAAATGACAAATTTAAGAAAAAAATAAAATCAACTGAAAATAGCTTGTAAACTTTATGTACAGTCTGAACTGTAAAAATGTAACTAGTTAAAGAAATGAACAGCTATTTTAAATATCCATCCATCCGTTATCGTTACCGCTTCTTCCCTGATATTCAGTATTAACATGGTCTGCAAACCCTGGCAGCTTTAACTTTTTAGATGTAAAGTGACTCATCGTGACTTGACCTCAGTGTCAACATCATCGTTTCCTTCCGTCATGCAAACTCATCATGAGTCATTTCTCAATCCAAACATGAGGGAGGAAATGTGTTTGTAAAGCAGGCGTGTGTGTTTAGCTTGCACATTATTTTCTTAGCAGTTTGAAAAGCAATTCTCATCATTTGTATTCATCTAACATGTCTTAAAGAGTCACTGTTGTACCCAACAACAACTTTAAAATGCAAAGTTCATTAATTCAGCCTCAAGAAAAAACAAAAATGATAAAAGAAATTTAAAAAAGTAAAATAAAATCCTAACTTTCAAGGGTTAACACTTTGAAAAATTGCTTAAAATTAGTATAAAAGTCAAAACCATGCTGGTTTATTTCCTGGACGTTTACAGTAGCTGTGTCCGGCTTCCCTGAAGAACCAACGGAACCTGATCAGGATATGGATCCTTAAGTTTGTTAGGGACTTTAGACAAAGGCGTGTCATGTGATTATAACTTGTACTTGAAAGGCTTTGTGTGGTCAGGAAGACAAGGAGACTGAAATCTGAAATCGGTTTACTGATTTTACACCAGTGATTATTTTTAGCTTTCATGTGTTCTGTTTAGATTAAACATGAACAAATTCATATTTGAATATTTTTCTAAAATGACATGTTGTAATAACATGCTACATCCATGAATCCTAATTCCTCGATTTCAGTATTTGTCTTTGCTGTATTTTCTATCCTTTCACAATAGAGGTTGTTCATCTGCTCTCCCTCCTTCTATTTTTCTTTCTTTTTTTTTTTTTTTGACCCGGTCATAATACTAGATTTACTGTCTTGTCAGAGTGAAGCCGGATTTATGAATCCTCTACATGTATATGAGGATTAAAAAAGTGGATCTGGGCAGGCATCAGGAGCATTACAGCGAGGTTTTGAAGGATTACACCTCTATCCTGCTTTTCTTGAAAGAAGCCCTTGGGCTCAGGGAGGGTGGGGGGACAAAGGGGCAGAGGAATGAGAGAAAAAAGCCAGACTTAAGAGGGGGAGGTCTGGTCTGACAGGCTTCCACCTTCTCACGCCAGGGCCAAGTACATCATGTTCACACGTCCCTCACTGGGCCGAATGGCCCCCCCTTTGGTCTCCAATCAGAGTGTCTTGTTTGGGAAGAGGGGCAGTTGTAGTTTACAATATTGAGATGTTTTCTAAAGATGGCTAACTCATGTGGGCTGGACTCCATTGTGCCTCCCTCCGTCCTCCATAGTTAGATTATCATCCCCGGCTCCCCCCCCCCGGGGCTCTCCCCCCGGGGGGCTCGACCTGGCCTGCCCCGCTGGAGCCAACAGATGCCCCCCTCTCAGGACCCTCGCCACAAGAAGCTTGCAGTTTCTCAAGTGCTGCTGATACTAATCGGATGAGGGATGACATATTGCCGGGGCGAATGGGATTGTCATGGTCCAACTGGGATGGGGGGGGGGGTGCAGAGTTAGAGGAGGCCCAGCGTGTGGGTGTGTATGGGTTCCGTCAGGTTTCTTGGGATGAATAGAACAAATATGGACGAGGAGATTTCTTTTGGAGAGCAGAGAGATGTAGAAATGCTAAAAGTAGTAGTAGGAGATAATCAATAGTCAGAGGGGATATCCAGCATGTTTATAAACATACATAATCACGTACAATCCTTCAAATGCTTATTACGTGCTCTGGTAATGTTTTTGAAATAGAAAATTGTTCTACCGAAAACGTTAAAATCCCAAATAAATGTTTGGCTGTGGTATTTGAAGTCTGTTTAATTGAGCCGTGTCGGTTTCCTTTGGCTGGACGGAATTCATAACCATATCATTGAACTATTTCTGGAATATTGTCTCTCTGTAGTCCTGAACTGAGTTGCTGTATGTTCACCAAGCTGTTTCCCCAACAGAGAAAAGCTCATTAACTCATCATTTAGGATCAATCGCCAAAGCCAGGGAGTCAGACTGGGATGTGGAATACAGAAATGTGTTTCTAGAAAAATAAGAAGAAAGCACACGTCAGAATTAGTTTTGTTCAAACTAAAAGTAGACCATCTTATTGTGGACATTTTGAAAGGTCTCCAGCCCCCCCCTGTGCACACGGTGAGCTGAACTGTTGCTCAGTGGTGCTGACTTAAGCCCATTAGTGGGAAACACCTGCCTTCTCTCTCCTGGTTAAAGTCATATGGCCGTTTAATGAGCTTTTCTGACTGGTCGGTGTTCAGACCATAGATCCACACCTAAACCTATTATATCACTCTGCCCCCAGTGAGAAGCAGGCACCGCCAGCCTCTTTGTTCACCTTATGTCCCACTATTGTGCGTTTCCACCAGCATTTGGTCTGTAATATCTTGTAACCCATAACCCATTGTGTTTCTCTTTCATGCTTTTTCATCTACACGTCCCACTCCTGTCATCAAGATCCTGTGTACCACGTCAGATGTGGCTTTGTTTCATTAGTTAAGGAGATCTGTCAAATTTGTGACAAGATATTTTATTAAAAAGCCCCAATTTTGGAACGCTACATCTACGAAACACCAGCCCTCTGCACAGGAAATAACCCAAGTGTTAGGCCACAGGTTGAACAGCAAAATGTAACCGGCTCACACAGGCCTCTATAGCTGAAGGGTAAAGTCCAGCCACCCTGTGTGGAGCTGCCTCTGGGACTGGACCCCGGTAGCTCTGGACAGTGACCGGGGGTGGACTATCGGGGTTACGGTGCAGCTCCAGGATCATGTGAGAGAACCAGAATGTTGGATGTGAGATCATCAAATTCTGGCCTGGCAACCACTATAAGTGTTTTTAAGGTTCCCTGTGAGAGACCAAATAGTTCTTTTAAAAGAACACTTAGGTTACCATGGAGGTGGCCTGTTTTTGGACGAGTGCCTAATCCCCTAAAGGAACCCTTTAGGGAGGCTTACTGTAGCACGGAAAAGCACACCTATTTGAATCCATCTTTTCTTACAGCCAAAATACTCAAGACATCAGCTGTCATTGTAGGTTTCCTGTGCAAAGACAGGCTGGTGTGTGTGTGTGTGTGTGTGTGTGTGTGTGTGTGTGTGTGTGTGTGTGTGTGTGTGTGTGTGTGTCCGGTCTGTCATCAGCGGACTCAGGCGCCCAGCAGCTGGATTTCCTCCTCTTCCTCCTCTTCTAACCATTTCGCTAGTTACAGCATCGTGTTTCCTCGCAGCTGTGGTGGTTGCCATGGGGATGCTAGTTTGACAGGGAGTAAATATACAACGGGAGAAAGCCGGAGTGGGGAGTGCCTAAGTGCTTGTTAGTGGTTTAGAAGGTGGATCTTCATAAAAGAAGAGGCTTAAGCTTTGCCTTTGTCACGTTTACTCCGTTTTCTTTAGAGGCGCTGAGGAGGAAAACGCTCAAACCACATCTCTTATGTGGGACATAAGCTTAGTTGACATCATTGTTGGAAACATTTTGGTATCTTATAAACAACGGTTACATATAATGATGTTGTAACAAGGATTTCTGGACGGAAAGATGCATTTTTAATCTTATCTTGGAAAATAAAAGACAAAGCAACTAGAGCCGTGGAATTTTGGGAAATAAATTTATTTAGAAAAACTAAGATGTCAAAGGAAGTACGTCCAACTCCTAATGCGGTCCAAAGGTAGAAATGCTTTCAGGGGTTTTAAGCACAATTCCAAATAGTTCCATCAAGCTCCTTTTAATGCAAGTATATTGTATTTAGCTGAAGTTTTCTAATCTTTCCTTTATTCTCTTTTTTTTACAGTACTTTCCAGGACGTCCCATGGTGATGAACTCTCTGAAGTCTCTAAACTCCTGGCTGCAAAACCAAACCTCAGACCAAATTTTCTATGAGGCTTTCAAAGAAATCCTGGATAACACGGCACAGGTGAGCAACACCGATGTTTAATCATTTAAAAATCATCGTCTACTTTCCCACAGAATGACAAAATGTCAAGTTTTGAAAGACAGAGACATTTGTGAAACGCAGAAATTCTCTCTACAGAAGACGAGGGGAAAATATATACTGCATGTAATTTGAAAGAGACAAAAATCCACATATTTCACCATTCCCTTTGACCTTGTCCCGGTGCCAGCGTGCAGCTGAGAATCTATGGGCTGTTTTCTTTGGAATGAAGCCTGCATGCCTCCAGTGTGCCGCCCCTTGCAAATTGAAAGAGTCACTTACTTACATCATTAGCTTTTAGCAGGCAAATCAATGGATCAATGAATCAATGGGGAGGTATGAATAGAGTCTGCCTCAGTGGAAATGGACTCCTGCGTGCACGCGCACCAGCGTGCACACGCCGGATCTTTACTATTGACAAGTGAGTAACGCTGTCAGTCAGCGGGCCGGCGGGGGTGCAGTGCGGCAGGGAAACGACTTTGTGTCAGAGGAAATATGTGGCTGGATTCAGCTGCGGCCGGCGGTCAGAGATCTGGACGGCTTCTGTTCATTAGTGGAGGGCTGAGCCATTAACCTGGGATTGACTTCCCATTGATCAGGAAAACTACGCGAAACAGCTTTCATTTAGCCAAACAGGTCGGGAGACGCACACAAGACCCTTCCATTTTTAGAGGATGTTTGTATTTTTGGTCAGGACTGGTTGTCTTGTAGGTTAAAGCCAGAGACAAGTCAGTGTTTGATGCTTACTAAAATATTGTGGTAGAAGATAAAATATGAGCAATCCACCTAACATCACCGAGGCTGTAAGACCTCCCCAAAACTCTTAAAGTAATCCTGACCACAAACAGACAAACAAGCTGGACCAGCAGCCAAACCTCTCCAGTCCAGGAAACCTCTCTTCTCCAATATAGTGAGATGATTTAGTTTTTTCTGTTGGCAGCATGACACAAAAACTCCGTCAGACTTTAGACAAAGCTTTCTGTAGAAGTGGAGGATGGGACACAGAGTAAAACAGTAAAACTGCAGGACAAACCCAAAGCCTTTGCTAAGGGGTGTACTGCCTGGTGACATTATTTTCCATTATTATTATTATCTATTGACTATATGAAAAGAGTTGAAGGTAGTCGTTGCATTTAGAAAAATCCAGGATGCCAGTGGGCGTGTTATTAATAGTTCTACGTTCTAACAGACTTAAACAAGTTGACTTGGGCCCTAAATCGGTAACAATAACACTTTTGAAATTGGACTGATTTTGTTTACTGGAGTTTCTCTGAAAGGACTCTGTGGGTGAGCTTTTAGAAAAAGGGCTGAAAACCCACTGGAGATAAGCTGACAGGAATGTGGAATAAAAATGAAAAACAAACAACTGAATGCCCTCATCTCGTGTCTTTGTTTTGTGAGTGTGTGTTTTCTCAGTTTGCTCTGTTCTTGCCCACAGGCTCCTGAAACTGCTCTGCCTGAAGGAGTGAGGTGGGTGGGCTGCCAGGGTTCCCAGCCCCACTTCAGACGTTACCCATGCGGGGTGTGGACCCTCTTCCACGTTCTCACTGTCCAGGCCAACAATACGGGAGGCTCAGGTACTAACGGTGGAACAGAGGAGGGCTATTAAGAGTCCACAGAGACATTAGGGGCAGAAGCTGAGGGCTTTGTGGGCTTTATAAGCAAACTGACCAGAGGATGTTCATCATCCAGCAGAGAGATATCAGCACGTGCATTATTTCTCCATCACTCTGCCACGTTGATGTTTGAATTTGCTTTCCGTGTTTTGTCGTTTTGATGCAGCTGAAACGGAGCCTAATTGGGACTGTGTGAAAAGGGATTATGTTAGATTAGAGGAATGTGAGTGGTTAATAAAACAGGCAGATGACCAGAGGCTGCGCTCCTGGCTGGGATGTTAATCTATCCCCTAAACACACACACACACACACACACACACACTCACACACACATAGTTACACACAGAGGTTAATCCTGAGGTTTACGGACCGTCACGTGACCTGCAGATGGACCGGCCAAAAGGGGAGTCCATCTGGCCCCCCACAGACCACCGGCTTAATGGAAGTGCCCACACTTTTTGGCCACTATTGACAGTTAGATCAAACTGAGCCTATTCATAACCACCCGCAGTCCACACGGGGCGGCTGGGAACATTAGCTGGATTGGGAGCATCGTCAGTTTTTCTAAACAAAACACCCTCCGGTGCACGCTCCTGCCTCCCGTGCGGTTCAACCAAAGGGCCAGCTAAGCTAAGAACAAAAGCAAACAGCTGGAGCAGAATATGCTGGTCCTGAGACAACAGCCTGGCCAGCATTCACACACAGCGTTAACTACCTTTAATCTCCAGATTGGGTTATCCCATTTTCATAGATTATTCATCTCAATATGGCGTTAACCCAGCTCCATGGGACTGAGGGCCACAGAATCGTGGGAAGACACCAGGATGTGGAACCTACCAATAAAAGCAGAAAGATCAGATGTGCTTTAAATGGCCGGTGACCGCTCAGGCCAAGGCCCAGTTAGGTCCACTGAAAAGATCTGCATCACTCCTCTGTCTCGTTTGGAGATGAATTTCATATCAAATTTGAGATTTATTTGATTTTTAAAATGAAGATCATGTTCAAAATGAAGCAACAACATAGGATTTAAAGCCTGTGCTTCGGGTGGTGTTTTGAAGGAATGCAAAGAACTGTTTTTCTCATTTTGAGTTTACTGACCGGAGCTCTATGTCGTTGTCCAGATCCTCGGGAAGTTCTGAGCGCAATGAGAAGCTACATACACAACTTCTTCGGCTGCAGACATTGTGCCGAGCACTTTGAGAACATGGCGGGCGAGATGCCCGGGGAGGTGGACTCGCTGCCCGCCGCCGTCCTGTGGCTGTGGTCCAGCCACAACCGGGTCAACAACAGAATCGCAGGTAAGAGCCGGGAGCAGCACCCACAACCTATCATGTCCTGGTGGAATACGATTCAAATGACGTCAAACTTTCTGCTGTGAAAGGGAATACTGCAACACTGGACAGATTTGAAGCTTCCATGTTTATTTAAGTAAAAGTTTTTACTTTCAGCTGATGAACTAAAGTGGCAAAACACATTAATTAGGTCTCCAAAGCATGATTTTAGATTATCTTTAGTTAATGTCACACACCTGACCTCACTTATTCCTCAGTAACTCTCCTCTACTCCTGTCACATACTTCCCTCTTTCCACTTCCCTTTCCTCTGTGTCCACCTATCCACTCACATGAAATCAGAAGCTTCACCCTTTCTCAGTTTTGGGGTCCGTTCCATTTTCCTCTCATGGTCACTTCTACCTAATGCGGCTAACGGAGGGTGAGGGGAGGAAGGACGGATCCTCCGATCAGACGCCAGCTGTCACCCCGTCTTAGTCCTCCCTGTATCATCTGCTTTATCCTAACCCATTTTCCCTTTACTCCCTCCTGCCTTCTTCCTTCTCACACCCCTACTTTGATTCTGTCCCACACCCAATCTGACCCCCACTGTTGTCCACTCATAAACTATTGGTTTTTATTTATCCCAACATCCACGTTGAATGAAAATATTCAGAGAAATATGAGACTTTCTGTGCTGGATATCCGTTTAAATCCTCACTTTTTGGGTAAACCGTACATAGAATAAAAAAATCCCACATCTAGGCTTTATACAGCATGGCTCTATGTTAACATGTTTAACATGTTTAATGTAATGCTCCCCACTACTTCACTAAGGAGTGCTAAACAGTGGTTCCTCCTCCCCTGACTGTGTTCATGTGATTTTATTAGCACTGCGCTGTCATTAACAGCCTACTTTGTTAAACCACTATCTTTTGTTTGTGTTTTGCTGACCGCCCCCCTCACGCCTATCTCAGGGACAGCTTGTGTCCTGATCAGCCGGGGCCATGGGGACGCCCGTGCCTGTGTGTGTTGGCTCCCCAGACACTTAAACACCACCCAGCCTCCCCCCCCCCTCCCCTCCCTCCATCCGTCTTCCCTCTTTTCCTGTTGCAGTCTTTTCTCTCTTTTCACTCAGAGCCCCTCGGGGCTCATATCCTCTGCTTGACAAGTAATAGTGCAGCATCCTCCCAGTATTGCTCCCCCAGGAGCTGGAGCTTTTTGCCCACATATTCCCAAGGTAGAGTCTGACAGCAGGTGGCCGGCAGCCTCCCACCGGCCACACACACACACACACACACACACACACGGATCCCCTCTGTCTTTTAGCACGGGCCTGCCTGTCGCGTGTCGGGGGTGGGGATAGGAGGTGGGGGGTTTGGGGGGTGGGTGACTCTGAGGGTTTGGGTATGCTCGTTGTAATGGGCGTCTTCCCTGTGGAAAGCACACTCCATGCCTCCATTCACTCAGCCCCTCCTCTGGCCTTTGCCTGGAGTGGAGCTCTTTAGCAGGCCCCCCCGCCCCTCCTTTCAGAGCCAGCCATGCATGAAAGAGCAGCTATTTGTAAAGCAGCCGGACAATTAATTTAGCTGGCAACAAAGAGGCCCCAGGGCCCTGGGCCTCCTCGCAGCGGCTGAATTAAGACTGGTGGCAGCTCGGCCCTGTTGCTGCTTGTCAACAGCTGAGACTGATTCACATTTCTCCAGACAGCAGCCTGCTGCAGGCCGGGGGCCTCCAGCCACACCGGATATCAGGGAGAGCTGGTAGTAGAAGGCATACCTTATTAAAAGGTGCTTCACAAATGCACATTATTGCAATTGTGATATACAAGAAAGCAAATATCAAAAAGAAAATACAATGACAATCTCTCGAGATTTGTGTCTGAATATTTCCCCCATCTTTCATCACATATGAACTTTACAATGGAAACTACTCTGAATTCAACAAAGCGTTTTGGGTCAATGTTGATCAGAGGAATTATAGCCCATTCCTGTAAACAGAAAGAAAACAACCTAACACAAGGGGGATGTTAGTTGTTCTCCCATAATTTATGCTCCGATGGATCCCTATTGTTTCAATAAAATTGATCCCATCTCATTGATTTGTGAAGACTAATTTCATCTACAAGTGAAGTGTCAGTTCATGAGGTTCACATTGCTGCTCGCAGAAAGTTAAATCTGACCTCAAGAGTGAATCGATTAAGTATGACACTTTTTCTGATTTGTTTAATAGAGAAGGGAGATTTAGGACTTTTCGGTAAGCATTATGTAGAACCATGAAAAATAGGTTCATATGCTTCTGATGCCACATGAGCTGGACCACAAATGTGTTAAGCTTTCATACACTGGATAAAGAATACAAAGATAAGTTATAGTGACGTAATTTAACCCTTTGATTATAGTTCAAAGATGTGATAGATGACATTATTCTAAAAAGTGAATTTCATGTGAAGGAAAATCTTAATGTAGATGTTAACAAATGTGAGGTAGCACACCAGAGATGTAACCCAGTGGAGCTAAGTATGGGGTCAGTGTCATGTTTTGCCCACTTCATCCGTGAAATGAAATAAGTTAAGGCCAATTATCCAAGTTTACATTAATACTTCAAAGCAGGAAGAAGTCCCGAGTCAGACATTAGTCGTGGCACTTCCCAGCAGGCGTAATGGAGCTTTGAACAGAGCTGCTGAGGAAGCAGGTTTGACAATACATATTTATGACGGTGCTTGTCCAGGGGACGGGGGCTATTGTGGACATCTCAGGAGGGTGCTGGGCCTAAAGTCACCCTGGTAGCCAACATGGCATGCTTATGAGAAAGAGGGAGGACGTGTGAGTCATGTGGGAGATGGGGGGCCTGCGTTTAACCGCTCCAAAGCTCCTCCCCCCCCCCCCCCCCCCCCCCCGCCCAACACACCCCCACACCGGCAGCGGGCCTTCCAAGACCCAGTAAAATTGATGGATCCTTTATGTAAAGTACTGTATGCAGAGTACATCCACACATGCATATGACTGAGATTAATCTTGAGCAGTGGGGGGGGGGGGGAGGGGGGGGGGGGGGGAATTGACAGAGCTGTAAAGTGACAGACCTGCTGCTCTGCTCTGCTTTTTTCAGTTGTTTGTTTCTTTTTACACACACATACACACACACACCAGGCCGTTAGTGACAACAGGAAATCTATTCTTGGATCCCGTGTGTGTGTGTGTTTGTGCGTGTGTGTGTTGGGGAGGAGAGGATTTGTACGTTTGCTCTTGAGTCAGAATACCTGTGTTTACACTCACTTCTCTACAAAAATGGTGAGTGAGGAGGTGTGTTGGCAGACTGGGGCTGGATATAAGAGGACATGTTAAAAGGAAAGTTTTTAATTCATTAGAGGGAAAGCTCCCGTCTGAGGTTCCTGTTGTTCTGCTGTTCAATTTCGAAATTGGGGTTTGCTTTCAAACAGCTGCAGGGGGACAGGACGGGTGGCTGAGAGCAAAGAGGTCTGAAAAACCAGGAGCGCGTGTGTGTGTGTGTGTGTGTGTGTGTGTGTGTGTGTGAGATGAGAAGCTGCCATCTATTATCTCACCATCCCTCCCACTGGGACACCCCACAAGCCCATTGATCATTGTTAGACCCTGTCATATGAAAACACACACACACACACACCAATCCATAGATTACATACAGACAGATGATTTACATAAACACACTTCAACACATACATGCACATATGCTTATGGGCACTTAGGTTTTATGAGCTCTGTGACAAAATCAGATGGGTCCAGCTCGGATTGCATCCAGGCCTTAAAGCACTCACATCCTCCACCCGATAAGGAGAATAAAAGAAACAACAAAGGAGGAAGCTGCTGACTGGAAGATTACATTGTGCTTTTGTAACCTTTTATACAAAATAATCTGCAGATTATTTTTTACTTTTGACTTTACATGTGAAAAAGTCTTAACAAAATCATAAGAATAATGGAGAAGATCCTCTAGTAGCTTTTTCCTTGATTAAAAATATTTTTAACAGTAAGGCCTCTGTTAGACAGAACATTTATTTACCAGTGAAAATGACTAAATAAAATGGAAATAGGATTTGGTTTTGGGTCATGTGGACTGATTCCTCAGTCTTGGTTGGACTAGGTTTATAACAATTCTAATAAGAGCTGTTTATAACATAGGCTTGGAACTTATTTTTCCTACATTTGTCCAAAATGATTTAAACACAATAGAAACATTTTGATTTAACAAGAAAAGTCATAAAAAAAGACCAGCAAACCAAAGCAGGCACCTTCTTAATAGCTACAAGAAACAAAAAGCCTTTGCTGCAAAACGTTCTGTTATCCATCGTTTTTATTAAAGCATGTCTATAATATCATTACATGTTCTTTTAAAAAAAAAATTGGGTAATTGTTATCTTTAATGTTTTAATATTTTTTGGTTTATTTGCTTTCATTTCTGAAAAGAAAGTTAAATCTCTACTTAAAACACAGTGACAATCAGACTTCACAATTCAAAAATATTTGTAGTTATTTTACAGCGTGCAAAATTCTGTTTAAGCCTAATATTGATATTTGAAAGGGACAAATGCTTCCAGGGCTGGAGTCGGTTGTTCTGTAATGTTTTGATCATTAATACCTGTGAAAGCATTAGGATTATAGTCATATCACCCGTTTGCTTCCCTCCAGGTGCTCTGAGTGAAGACCCTCTCTTCCCAAAAATCCAGTGGCCGTCCCCGGACATGTGCCCGGCCTGCCACGCAGTGAAGGACAACGGGGAGCACAAGTGGAACAAGGACCAGGTTCTGTCCTTCCTCACGTCCCACTTCTCTTCCAGCAGCATCCTCACAGGTACGAGTCAATTACTGTATTTTAAAAAAGTCCTGAAATTCCTTTTAATGCCCCAGAACACCCTCTGTCTACTGGCAGGATGCTTTCCATTAAAAAACGATTCAGTCGGGGGAATAAAAACTGTTCAGATAATCTTTTGCCCAACAAGTACTGGTGACCTAGTGTGTTTGCTTTTGTGTGGTGAAGTTTAACAGATTTGGATGGTTTGTTTGATGGTTAACCGTGTGTGACGGTGGTGTGATGAATGTTCTCTTCTCTCTATCAGACTACCTTGAGGACGACGGTCAGATTCTAGGGAAGCAGAGGGAAAAAAACGCCCGTAGGCAGCTAGATCTAGCAGCTCAGAAACATTTAGAGAGGAAACCCAGAGAGGCCTCAAACTCCCAGACCCCCCCCCCGCCGGCACCCTCCCCGGGGCAGGAGGAAGAGGAGGAGGAGGAGGAGCCCCAGGATGAGGCGGGGGCCTATGAGGAGGAGGAAGGTGGCGAGGCCAAGTCGTCCGAACCCACCCCTTGGGCCAAGCCGGAGATGGGGGGGGCAGGGGGGCGGGGGCAGGCCCACAGGAGGCCCAGCATCGTGGGGGGGCGGCTGCGCCCCCCGGCCGAGGACATCCTGGACCTGGACTCCTTCGTCAACCAGCACTTCAAGGCCAAGGCCCTGCAGCTGGCCGCGTCCAGCCGCGTCCGGCAGCGCTCGCTGCAGCGGGAGGGGGGGGCCGGACGGCCTGCAGCTGGACGCAGGCCTGGGCATGGCCGGCCTCCAGCCCCTGGACCAGCCCCTGGACCGGCACCAGAAGCGGCTGCAGAAGCGAGAGCTGGCCGGTCAGTACTTCGTAGGGGAGGATGAGCTCAGCCGGAGGGGTCACTGGATGTCCGTGCTGAGTATCGGATTCTCCAAAGTGGACATCAGCCTGTGTGTGATTCTGTACTTCCTGTCCACCATGTGTCTGCTGGTCATGTACCTGTTCTTCAAACAGCGGCTGAGGGTGCGGCGGGTAAAGATGGCCCTGCCCTGAACCAAAGCCCCCAGCAACACTTCCCCTGGCCTCATGTGGGCCTCCTGTAGAGGAATGTGGCCGGTAGGCGGTCAGAGAGAGGCGATTTGATCTGACCATTATGGATGGATAAGGTCAAACTGGAGGGACGGAAAATGTTTCTTTCTTTGTAATGGGCACAGTGTTCTAACCTCGTGTTTCCACTCACCAGCGACTCAATAGAGACGTAATTCTGTTTGCTTTAGTTTGGAGTTTGTTCCTCCGTTAAAGATACTTAGCCGCTCTTTTAAATCCCTTTCACCACTGACGATGGATCGAATTTAACCCACTATAACTATCAGTTTATTTTATGTGAGGTGAATTTGACTTTCCCAAAGTTTTCTGCTTGAATCGTTTACAGATATTATAGAATAGTGGGGATGTTGCAGTTATTTCCCAAATAATTTGACATTGATTATTTTCATTTCAGTGATCTGTTGTCGTAAGTTTTTCTGAATTTATGATTCTGAGCAGTTCTGTTGAATATTTCTTTGAAAGCCGCATTGTGAAGTAAGTCATTTAAAATCAGAAGCTGATAACCGCTTTGTGCCTTCTTAGCAAACGGTCAGGAAAAGAGCTGATGTTTGCAACGTGTTGTTAATACTGTGACAGGACTAACAGGTAAAAGCCAGAGCAGCTGCGGAGGCTGTTTCTCTGTTAGCTCCGCACCATAGCTGCTTTAGCTGAAGTTCTGCGGGGCGTGAAAATGAGCACACTGGATATGTTTTTTGGATAAACAGGATTTAGTGACCACTATCTAGAACTTGGTCATCTCAAAAACATTCTCTGTTTGCCTGCATATAAACCAATAAAGCTATTTTTGATATGAATAACCACTCTATTTGCTATGGTCTGTTTTGGTTGAGCGAGTTTAGCCATATTCTGCCATTTCTGGCCAAAAAAGGGGTTCAGCTTTACCCGTATCTGTGTTCTCTTGATGGCAGAGTGGTTTAACCAGCAGCAGGAGATTCTGGTTTTTCTGTGCACATTTGGGGAAAACAGATTCCTCTTTGTTTTTCTTGTTTTCACCAGGAGCAGGATAATATGCAGCTACTGGAGGCAGGATGTCACATGTAGAAATGGGGGTTTAAACCACCCAAGGTTGAAGGAAAATGCCTGTTGCCATCTGCTGTGCAGCGCAAGCTAAATCCTAACAATTTCATTGGGATTATAGCAAGTGAATAATCCAGCTTTCTTTTAGGACCAGAGAGATTACCCTTGAGGATTAGCTCCCTGCAGATAATAAACTTTATTAAAACGCAATCGGCTTTCCTGAGGCTCCTTCCATCCTCAAACACACTTGGAAGTGGACTCTGCCGAGGGGACCCAGTGGACTGGTAAGAGGGGATGGGATGGGGTGGATAAAAGAGGGAGGACATGGTGGGAGGGATGAATGAGTGGATGGACAGAGTGAAAGACAAGGGTTTGATGTTGAGATTAGAATGAGCCCATCTGAAGGACGAGTGATGCTTGATCTTGAGCTTTGAACCGTCTGAAACATTGGCTTGAATTCCCTTGACTCGTGGCCTTAACCCCCCCCTCCCCCCCACTCCACTTCTCTATCCAAACCACCTCTAATCTTTGGGTTGTTTTGATAGAGAAATTGTCGAGTTCAAGCCGTCAGATTTCCTTGCCCCCAATTGGCTGATTAATAGCCTCCTATTAAAGCGGAGGAGCATCAAAGCTAACAGTCAAGTACTTTTGTTTTTATCCGCAATGTCCCTTTCATGGTTGGAATTCAGGGGAATTATACTGTATGTGCAAATGTGTGTCTATGTGAGTATATATGATTCCTAAAATGAATGGATTTTCACTTTTTGTTTAAACTGGGTTAGGGTTGGCAGCACCTTCATATCTGCCTGCAGCTTTGCCAAGTTGGAGGTGTGTGCTTCATCCTGAGGACAGAGGCTTCACACACACACACACACACACACACACACACACACACACACACACACACACACTGACTGAGCTCTGTGGCTATCTGGATTCAGGAGTAAAAACATTTGTCATTACTTGCATGAGCAATGTAACCTGAGACAGATAAGACTTGAGCCCCTTTCATCTCTGAGAGAAAAAAGTACAAAGATTTTGACAAATTTTACAATAAATAAAGTCAAATAAATGAAAAGGTCTCACTGGCCCCATTATTTGTGGAGCTAAATCAATTTATTAGCCCATTGCTGAGATTTATTAAAATATATTGCTCAAAAAGTAGAATGACAGAAGTGTCTCTCCAACATCTTGTAAGGTTGCTGCTCTACACACATGCTCACACACACATGCACGTATGCTCACACACACACACACATGCACATATGCTCACACACACAGGCCCATAGCGTTTATGAGCTCTGTGACTGGATCAGATGGGTTCAGCTCAGACTTGGTCCAGTCCTTTTCATAATCTATTAAGAAAAAAATTATAATTTTGTGCCTGGTGGCAATATAATGTTATGTTTTTTCAATGATTTTTGTTTTTTTGTAACAGGTTCTGTTTGAATGAATGGACAAAAATGAATCAAACTCAGGTTTTGACTTGTAAGTCATCCTGCACATGAGTTTGAAATAATTTCTGAATGAGGGCTCAGCTCATTGTACTAGAAGTGGCCATTTGCAGATTGTTGTTACACATAAAAATGTATTATTTTATTATTTATCAATGAAAAAAGCCTTTAAAGTTCCAATGGAAACTCAGTCCGAACAAGTCTTGGCTGTTCCTGAAAACAAACCGGCCTTTGGTGAAATATTTGGGTGTCTGTGAGCTTTGCTGTAATTTGGATCAAACCACTTTTGTTGATCATCCAGGTGATGTGATTGGAATTATTCCCTGGGCTCAGTGGACTTTCTCTCAGACTTTTAGATGTATCTGTGCTCTGTGGAGGGATGTTTTTCTCTCAGACTTTGTTGTGTGATGAGACCTGAGAATGAAGGGTAAAAACCTCACCTTGCTGCCCTCTTGTTGTCTTCCATAAATTAGACAATGCAGAGTTTTATGGTCACGCCTCTCCTGTGTGCTCTCTGCCTGTGTGTTTATTACCCCGCCGGTATTGATATTAAAATGCAGGAGGGGCGTGATGCATTTTTCTGTCATCTCTCTTTCTGACTTTAATAATACTATAAAGCCTGCTGCTGTAGACAGAGGCAGAAGGCGTGAAGGGGTGAATAAATTATGAAGAAGAGCTTAATATATGGAACTGGTATATATCACATCCAAACTAAGCCAGATCCCCTTTCAGGTTTTAAATATGCAGCCTTTTAAAGGCAGGAGTCAAGTAGGGTCAGATCCATCTCATTTTACTGCTCCACTTCCCCCCCCTTTCACATTGATGCTCATCTGCCCGTCTCTCAGACAATTCATCTGACCGTCAGAGACGCTGCTGGCTTTGGCTGGCAGATGATTATCCTGTTTCATATTGTACTGAATTGATATTGTCCGCATACGTACATATTAGGAAAGATTGGGACCGACCAATATCACCGAATGAGTGCGAGCTCTGGGTTAGTTTCCCTCTGATAACCGGGCGTTGATGAAAGACAGCAAGTAACAACTAATTAATTTCATTTAACTTCCAGTTGTAGTTGTCAGTAAGTATAATATCTATCTGGAAATATAAGTAAGATTTGCACTGGCACCTTGACTTGATATCCAGTTAATACTTTGAACCAGACTCCGGTCCGACATCTCAAACCTTCCATCCTTTAAAAAGAATATCTTTCTCCAACCTCATCATGGAACGTTAATCTAATCTAATTTTTTTAATATATTTGTTGGGTTTCTTTGCTGTTTTTTCTTTTGTCAGTGGAGGTTAGGAGGCATTAGCTCATAAACCCACTCAGGATGCAGCACATCCATTTTATTCATGCTCGAACATTTAGTATAATTTATTTATATTATTAGCATTTAAAGTATTTATAATCACACATAAAAGTATTTATTCATTAATGTATTTTCCCTTCAATTATTTAGCAAATCTTTTTTGGGGTTCTCAAAAATTGATTGTTTACATTGTTACAAGAGGAAAAGATCCATAATTCCATAATCCCCCATTTCAGATTCTGAAAAACACTCCTTTATGTGCATTTTTACAATAATATAAATGACACGTTTAGCTTTTTTGTGGATGACTGAAAGTAATATTGACATTTCTCCAACTGTTTAGATATTCCCAGGTTGATTCCATGTCCACAGAATGGCATCGTGGTCCCCGTAACCTTACAGCTGGATGCTTATGGGAAGCGGTCCCCTTCCCCTCCTCAGCTAGCAGAGAGTTTACAGGAAGTGCTCGGGTAATGAAGCTGGAAAAGATCCAGCGTTTGTCAGTCACATTGCTTTAATTCACTCACTTGGCACTGCTGCTGTCAGTGGGTCTCCAGCCCAGATTCACCTCTGCCTTCCCACGGAAAAGGGGAGGGTTTAAAAGTTGAATTTCATGTTGTCTGTCATATTAATAACAAGTAATACAAATAATCTACAAATGATCATTAAAAACTTAATGATAAAACTAAAAAATTGAATATCAAGTTTGTCAGAATGAGGTCAGAGTTCACTTTCTGTTATAGCTGTCAGACAAAATGTCCCAAAAACTACAAAATATCACAGAATATTTTTATTTCTGTAAACAGGTGCCTAAAACAGCTCACCATTATGTTTTCGAAAATATTTCCTGATAGTCGTATAGGCTGTGTGTGTCAAAAGGCTCCTGCAGGAGAAGCTGGACCTTCATCTCCAGTTTTCATTTGCTGTCCAGAGCTGATGCTGAGGCTCGTGAGGGTCCGGGGACCACCCATCCTGCTGGGGGGGAATCAGAGGGGGCTTCACCCCGTTAGCTGCAGATCATCTGAGAGATATCTGCTGATTCCCTAATAGAAACCAGACTGTCTTCACTTTAGGCTGCCTCTGAATTTGAAAGGAACATCTGCATGATAGTCGTTTTTTCCACATGTTTATAACAGCTAAAATGTTTAACTGTAAAAAAAAAAATATATATATATATATATATATATAAATATATAAAAAAAAAAAAAAAAAAAAAAAAAAAAAAAAAAAAAAAAAAAAAAATTAAATTATACATTATATTATATTATTATATATATTATTATATTATATATATATAAATTATCATTATGATATATATCTATGAAAAATAGATTTTTTTCTCTCCAGAAATTGACATAGTGGTGCGGTTTAGCGGAACGTGCGTTATTTGTGAACTTTCTCTGTGCCTGGGGGAGGGAAACCCCTCCATTGGTCTTTTTTCCAGATCTGCCGGAGGTAACGGAGCCTATTACCGCCTCGTCACAGCGCCACGGGGTCAGGTTCAATCAGAGAATTGGAAAATATCATTTCTGACGGGAATAGATTTGGTTTGTTAGACCAATCTCTCCTACTAATTACCCAAATGGACAGGAGCTGTCAGGAGACAATAACTATTCCCTAATAGAATTTGCCCCCCAAGTGCAATTTAATTTCCTCCTGCTCCCTGCCCGGTTCCCGGGCTCTGCTCTCTCTCTGCTGCTCTCGGCTTTGGGAGCTGATGCTGCGGGTCGTTTTTTTCCGGGAGAAGCGGAGCGCGGAGCCACCGCCGCGCGCTCTGAGCCGCGTGCTGCCCGGACCAGCCAGGAGAAGAGGGGGGAAAGGGGGGGGCGGGGGTGAGAGGAGGCGCGCGACCCGCGGCTGGGAGACCACCCGTGCACAGGTAGGTGAGCCCACAGAGTGTCCACCGGAGTGTCCACCGGGCCGGTCAGCCTCCGGGGCGCGTTCAGAAACGCCGTTTGAGCCGGAAATGCGCGCGCGTGGGGCCGGTGTCCTCCATGTCCCGGTGCACGCGCTCCTCAGAGGCCTCTCCGGTTCCGTGCATTTGTTCAGATTGAGCTCCGGTTTGGTCGGGTGCTCGTGGCGGGTTGAGGAGGGATAACAGATGCACGCGCACCTGTGTGAATCCTAACGCGCTCTGTGCGGCTCCTGCAGAGACGTGCACGCCTGACGGCACGCGGAGGCGCGCGCGGGCCCCGTTTCTCCGTATCTCTGACTCCTGACGGATCTGTGAACCGCAGTTGTGAGTGAAGCCGTCCACAGAAGTCTGAGATCTAATTAGAGGTGCGGGGTCAGCGGGCGTGCGTGAGTTATGGCCGGAGAGCAGCTTCCTGAACAGATTACCCCCATTTTATCTTCACACATACAGAAATAACTCATAAGACTTCATCAGAATATAGATTATTCTAACTCTTCTTTTTTTTTCTTTCTCTGACACAATTTGAAGCTGTTGGTTGACCATAAAAATGACCACTGGGTCATCAAACAGAAGGATGTGTGTTTTTTTATGCCACCGTCTGCCGTTTCATCCTAAAGTTGGACTATTTCCCCAAAATAACAAACCACCGGTTCCCAGATGTGGATTAGGTTGCAGATAATAGAGCCGCTCTCCGCCGTTTTTTCATTTTGCAGATGAAAAAAAAGCCCCCCATCCCTCGGTGTCCCACTAAAGCAGATGTGCGTGCTCCCGTCTTTTCTCTTTCTGCCTTTTGCATCCGTCAATTACTCTAATTGTGTTGCCCTTCGCTGACAAGTTAAGAGCATTTTTTTTATCCGCATTGTTTTTGGGGGCAGCTAAAAGGGCCTCGATTACAACAATCAGAGTAATTGAAGAGTGTCAGAAACTGAGGGATTTTGAGTGAGAAAGTGTATAATGAAAATAAAGAAAGGGCATATGATTCCTATGTCACGCGACCAGGCCTCGGATGGGTGGATGAGAGGATGGATGGGTGGATGAGAGGATGAGAGGATGAGAGGATGTGAGGAATAGAGGATGGACCTCTAACGTGGAAACTGCAGCCTGAAATGGGCTGGAAATATTCCTGTAATGCCCCAGCTTTCTTTTTAATCAGCTTGATGTGCGTTTTCATTTTGCTAAATTACATCTGTGGCATTAAAAACGGAGGCGAGTGGGACCAACAATAGGCCATATATATATAAATATATATATATATAACCCGATAAAAGAATAAACAGCCTGTAAGGCAGCGCGTGCATGGCCCGGGAGAGACACAGGCAAAAGTCAGGATATGAGACCTGGAGAAAATCATTATAAGTAAATACTGAGAGTCCTGGATACGTTTAAGTTTACTACTTTTTATGCATCTTAACTGTAAAACAAAAAAAAATCGAAAATATTACTTTCAAATGACATTACTATGGCCACCGTTTTTATTCCATCTTAATTCCTCTCAATTAAATTCATTTTCATTAATAACGACAGATTATTTTAAATAGAAATGACATAAAATACTTTTGTAATCGTTCAGATGCGTGCACATCTGGACCTGTGTGCGCGTGAGCGTCAAACGGCTGTGATGGAGACCACTGGTGCTTGTTTATCAGCCGGACAGGAGTGGGCTTCTCTCTCCCGGTGTGAGATAAATTAGAAGTGAAGACTGAGTTCATCTCGCGTGAACCGGCGGCTCCCGGAGGGAATTTCTGTCCCGGGGAGCGCGCGCTCAGAAATCAGGAGTGTCAGCGGGACTGTGCCCGGACTCCCGCTGGACAGAGGCGCTACAGGCCCCTGGACAGTGTCCAGTCACCCCCCCACACACACACACACCCGCGCGTGCCGTGGCCTCTGCCCACACAGACGGTTCAGTCTGTGTAGTGGTCACGCGCTCTGGGCCTTTTTCAGCGTCCCTCGGTCAGTCCTCTGGTGACGTGGGCCGGTCAGGTTCCACCTGCTGGCTGCTGCCCAGCAGAGTGACCACGGACATCACCACGCACGTGCAGGGAAATCTGCAAAGAGAGCCTCACTTGCTCTTTTTTCCCGTGTTTTTTGAAACCACCCTGTGTCCCCCCCCCCCCCCCCCTCCACCTCCCCGTGAGGACACTACTGGCTGGGGCCCCCTCGGGGAGCCACTGCAGTGAGCTATTTATGGGCTCCACGCGCGCAGGGTCCCGCCTCTCCGGAGACATTTTCCATTTTCATACCCAGAGCTGGCCGCCACTCTTCCTCCCCCTCCTCCTCCTCCCGCCTTTCTCCTCCTGAGGATGCTTTCGGCTCGGGGGGCCTCTTCTCCTCCGCCCTCCTATTGGCTCCCGGCGAGCCCGTGCCGCGGTGACGTCAGCCCCCGCCGCCCCTGCAGCGCTGAATGGACCGCGCAGCCTGTCTGGTCCACTCCAGAACGGCTCGGCGCGGCGCGGCACGGCACAGCACGGACAGCAGGCCGGGACTAGAGCAGCGGGAGGGACGGAGGCTGCACCGGGGGGCGGCGGAGTGAGATCAGTCCGCGGACAGGACCGGGGCCTCGGCACCGTTTTTTTTCCCCCCTATTCACGCCAGGACGGAGGGAGTGCGCCCACCGCCTCGCGGGTGTGTATGCGCGTGCGCTTGGGTCCCGGTTTGGATCACGATGATGCAAAGTGCGGCGGTCCTACCGACAGAGAGTCCCGTGAAGAGTTTACCAGAGATCCTCGGAGTGCCACTGCAACGTAAGACATTTTCTATCCCCCCCCCCCCCCCCCGTGCTCCCCCCGGCTGCCGGTCTGAGGACCGGGAGCAGCGCGCGCGGGGCCGGGCTTTGAGATGAGAGGAGCTCGGGTGCAGTAGGAGGTTCAGAGGAGACTGAACATCCTGCAGGTCACGTGTGTCAGGCTTTTATTTTAGGATGAAACAGTAGCTGCGTCCTCATGGCCACGAGGAGCATCCCGCGTGCCCCGGTAATGTCTGCAGCCCTACAGAGGGGGGCTGTGCTCCGGGCCAGGAGACCGTGGGCGCGCGCGAGATGGCTTTTGATTCTCTCCATTCATTTCGATTTATTTACCGTTCATATCCATATTTGTAAATCGTTTCTGTAGCAGAGTCTAAGGGGGGTCTGGGCTCTCCGGGCCGGGCCGGAGCTGCCCCCCCCCCCGGCCCTGAGCTGCCCCCCCCCGGCCCGGAGCTGGTCCCGGTCCGCATGGTCCAGATATCATGCGCGGTTGTCATCATCAGCCATCAGACTTTGACTAAAACTCATTTCAGAGTCTAACGAAATGCTCCAGACCCCCCCCCACCCAGCAGCCACGAGGCCCAGGGAACCCATTGCATTTGCATGCGTTATAATCCACATTTTATTCCAGAATTCCCACCTCACGCTCGTTAGACAGAGCGTGAATTATCCCGGAATTCCAGCCTTAAACTCCTCATCAAAGGCGGGGAGCGCCTTACATCTGCTGCGTTAATCTGAGCCATAATCTGAAGGGACACTGGATACTTCTCTGCTCTGACCTAATTGTTTACAGGCGAGTTGGTCAAATGTACAGATGGAGCCAGGCTAATAGGCAGCCCCCCCCCCCCCACAAAAAAAAATAATCCAGAAGAAAAAAGAATAATGCTGAGACGATTAGTGACGTTTCAAATATTCCCAAGGAAAATAACTCTATTGTATTTTATTGTTGTCATTCAAATAATAACTAGAAAATTAAATTAAATATTATAGCTGACTAACAAAAGTGTTTAAAAACCCAGAAACTAGTGGTAATTAAACGTGTGTGATTTAAATCTGTTGAGCATATTTAAACCTGACCAAAGGAAGGAGACTATATATGGTCGGCTTATGCTCTTTAATTTTATAAATCGAGACAGATTAAAAGATTGGATAAGGATCCTGCCACTCAGCCCCCCCGCGGGGCCGGGATTCATCCTGGATTTGAACCTGGATTATTTCAGGAATGAGCAGAAAGTCTCTGGGAGCGTTCCACCTGCTGACTCAGTCCAGACCTGCTGGACTGCTGACCACCGGTCACCTGACAGTGGGGGGGGGGGGGGTGGGGGGGGGGGCTGCCAGAGTCTCCTGGCTCAGATGTGGCCTCCTGCTTCCTGTGCGCGCGGCAGAGGCGATGAGCGCGTGCGGAGTGGAGAGTGGTGGCAGCAGATAATGAGATATGAGGAGGACCTCCGGAACGCGCCGGGTCTTCTCCCTGTCGCTCACACGCGCGTGCACGCGCGCGCGCGCGCACACACGGGAGCTGCTGGTTGCCAAGATCCGTGCAGCTTTCCTTTCAGCACCCTCCGGCGGGCTGTGCACGCGCCCAGCCATGGACGCTCGTGCGCCTTCTCCCGTTAAATGACTCCACCGGATGTCGGTGGAAACAAAGCCCACGCGCCACGTGTCCGTGGGGGGTCCCGCGCACGGACTTTCTCCAAGCAGAAAAAATATCCCTAACCCTAACCCTAACCCTAACCCTAACCCTAGCCCCAGCCCGCCGCGTGCCCACATCAGCTGGTGTGTTTGTGGCCTCAGATAGCTGCAGGAAAAATGCACCGCGGTTTAAAATCTAACGAAACACCGTCCGCGTGCAGGTGGTCTTCACCCCCCTAGCAACGAGCACGAGGCAGTTTACATCCATATTATTATTATTATATTAGATCCAATTTATCAGCATCATAATAATATATATTATAATACTAATATTGTTATTTTTCGAATTTACTCTGTGTATTTTCCCTCATTTTTTATATCAGAAATACTTTAATAATAATCAAACAGGAAATGTTGGACACTATGTGGCTTTAAAATAGATTCAAATTGTATTGTTTAAAAAAAAAACGTACAAACAATAATGGGACATTTAAACAACAACAGGACGATATCTCACTTATCCATTAGTTCGTTTTTAATATGGAATAATAAATGAGTAAATGCTGACTGTTTGGTATCATAAAATTAAGAAATATGTCTAAAAAAAAATATGGAACTAGGCTCGTAATAAAGAAAACCATTAGGAGGAATTGAACTGCTGGAAATACTGGATGTCAGGTTGTTGGATTGGACTAATGACCGTGGAGGAGCCTTTTTTATTTTAACAGAAAAGAAATCCAGTTCGGCCTCGTTCTTCCATCCAGAATTAGTCCAGCTCGTGGGTTGTCACCATGCTTTCCATAAAATCACTAAGACATTAATTAGGCTGGAGATGGAACAGGAAAGCCAAATTAAGAGAAGGAAAAAATCGATATTTCATCAAAGAGCTTTTTTTTTTTTTTTGCCACGAACAGTTCGAAGATCCCGTGACAGTGACCGACACGTTCACATGACACACGCGCGCGCGCAGACACACACACACACACACACACACACACTCACACACACTCACACACACACACACACACGCTTCTGGCTCGGCGCTCAAAATAATATCAGAATATTTAGGATCATTTTAATTTTCTTTCGGAGCAAACGTGATTCTTTTGATGGGAGAAATCATCTGAAAATAAAAACATAAAACTAGGAATCGGTTTTCATCAGACTGACCGATGAGACTGATGCAGATTTTGTGAAATATAAAACATTCGTGTCCATGCACTCTCCCACATTTTATTTGGACAAAAACACAATATCCAAACATCACATTTGGACCCGCTTATTGAATGGAATTGTGTGGAATTTTGTGCGTTTTGTCCCTGGTTGTCCTGAATTATTCTTGTTCTAAAAGCTGCTGAGATCTGAGGCTCTGCTACACACACACACGCGTGTGTGTGTGCTGTTTTTCTGAGAGAGTGTGTGTGTGTGTGTGTGTCCTGGCAGAGATCCCTCAGTGTGCGGGCTGCAGTCAGCACATCCTGGACAAGTTCATCCTGAAGGTGCTGGACAGACACTGGCACTCCAAGTGCCTGAAGTGCGCGGACTGCCAGGGCGCGCTGGCGGACAGATGCTTCTCCCGGGGGGGCAGCGTCTACTGCAAGGAGGACTTCTTCAAGTCAGTTCCCCTGTTTCCATCACACGCTTATTTATTTTGCTGTGGCCCTCTCTAAATGATCAGCAGTGACACTGTTCGATGGCACGTTTTCCTGGTTAAAACCAGAACCAGTCATTTCCGATGAAAACAAACTGTTCCAGTGGTCATAAATTCACCATTTCAAATTTTAGTCCATTATACTTGAATTTATATTTCATTTCAAGTGATACTAATTGATTAAACTGACTAATTGTTTTTCCTCTCATTTCTAAAATAAAACCCCAACAGCTGGAAAATAGCTGTTAGTCATTTTGCTCTTCCTTCTAAACCTAAAACCGAACTGTGGGATATTTAATGATTTAGTCATAGTCAGAGATATTTATAATGTTCATATAATGTTCATATATTTTTAGATTCAAAATTCAAGTATTTTACCATATTTTTATAATTTGCCACTGATTGAATTCCGGGTGCATTACAGCAGAACTCTGGGATTGAACATCTGGGCTTTTTACTAAATCTCGTTTGAACGCTTTAATGCTCAGAGCTGAAACGGGACCTGAGGAGCTCTAAATAGCTGCTGCTGGATAACTGTGTTTGCTGACCCGGGGGGGCATGTTAAAACCACCCAAACACGGCCAGCACGCGGATCCCCTCACGCGCTGTTCGCTCCCCAGTACTGATTTGGAGGCTTCACCTTGCTCTTTTTTATTTTCCTGGTTGGTTTTATGATTTAAGGCCTCTCCTGACTCAGTTTTTTATTGGTTTTCCTCCGGGTGTGTTTATTGTTTGCAACCCCCCCTCCTCCAAACTCTCACTTTTTCATCTGCAAACCCATAAGCACGCAGGCCTGCACGCACACACACGCGCACGAGCGCTGCATTGATCCCGTCCATCCATCAGGCTGCTGGCAGCTGTGCCGTTAACAGAAACGCGCTCCGGGGCTTTTTTTTTTTTTTTTTACTCAACATCTGGAGCTTTTTATTCATGCAAACACACTTTTATTCATCACTCACACTCACAAATAGTCTGGCCCGGAAACGTTTTAATCCCAGACTCACAGGTTCTATGTGGGTTTTTCTTTCAGGCGTTTCGGGACCAAATGCGCCTCGTGCCAGCAGGGCATCCCCCCCACGCAGGTGGTGCGGAAGGCCCAGGACTTCGTGTTCCACCTGCACTGCTTCGCCTGCATCATGTGCAGCCGGCAGCTGGCCACCGGGGACGAGTTCTACCTGATGGAGGACGGCCGCCTGGTGTGCAAGGTGGACTACGAGACGGCCAAGCAGAACGGTGGGTGTACCGGGAACCGGGAACGGGATTAGTGGGAAATTAATTCAATTCAATTCAATTTTATTTATATAGCGCCACATCACAACAACAGTTGTCTCACAGCGCTTTCCAAACAGAGCAGGTCAGACCCTACTCTGAAGTTAACTACAGAAAGCCAACAATTCCCAAAATTACGCACCGTAAATCAGAATATTACCACATTCTATTTATCAAATGGGAATTTCAAACGAGAGTAGAAGGCCTCAACCTTCTTTATTCCCATGGAAATAAACAGTTATTTGGTATTCCTCTGAATCTGAGAGGCTCTGACTCACTGGACTGAATGGAAATACAGAAGAACATAATGGTTCGATGTAGTGAAATGACTTCTGACTGGGGATCGTTGGTGTTTGTCGTGTGGGGGTGTGCGCGCGCTGTTTCCCCTCCCCTCCCTCTCCTCTGTGATTCTCCGTGCGCGTGTGATTGATTATGTAAAGTGAACCCGCGCGCCTCTGTGCTGCGGCTCCAATAACTTCATTCCTCTGGAGTAGATTTATGTCCTCTGCTGTGGGAGCGGGACAGATGCACAAGGACAATGACACGCGCCCGCGCGCGAGCCTTCGCTGTGTTCCATCCAACACGCGCACGCTCGGCGCAGAGGCGCGCAGACAAAGGCGGGAGGAGGCCGCTCACGGTTGTGGTGCTTTTCAGATGATTCTGAGGCGGGGACGAAGCGACCGAGGACCACCATCACTGCCAAGCAGCTGGAGACCCTGAAAAGTGCCTACAAGAACTCCCCAAAGCCCGCGCGCCACGTCCGCGAGCAGCTGTCCTCCGAAACAGGGCTGGACATGAGGGTGGTGCAGGTAGGGTATCAGGCCCGGTCAAACAAGCTGTGGACGGTCCAGCTGCACCAGAGCAGCCTCAGTCCAACAGCTATTAAAAATATATATATATTATTTCTGTATTTTAGATCATTCCCTAGTCCTGAGAATAATCTAAGACCCTCCAGCACGCCAGCATTTTCTAGCACATTAATTCCAGTTTCTCTTCGGTGTCCCAGTTTTGCAATATTGCTTATTTTTCCTGATTCAATTCAATTAAATTCAATTCAATTGTATTTATATAGCGCCACATCACAACAACAGTCGTCTCACAGCGCTTTCCAAACATCCCTGAAACGTTTCTGATCAGAAACGTTTCGATGGAATGATTGGAGATCAAATTCAGTCTGGTTATCAGAATTTTCTCAGTGTTTAAAATTAAACCAGACATTTAATATTAACACTCCAGATGTTGAACGAATCTTCTAAAAGCAGGTTTTCACATTTAATGTGACCCACTGATTAGGCGTCAATCCATGACCCTGTTTACCTGAGCAAAATGTGTTTTTCTACCTTAATAACGTTTTCATAAAATTATAAGATTAATCTCATAGTTTAAAAAGATAACTGACATGGTTTCTATTTTCATGCACCTTAACGTGGCCTTATGTGACAGTTAGGTTCCTTTTATTTCATTTGTCAGAGGAAGCTGGAGGGGAATCATTACTTTTCATTTTGATTTTTAAAAAACTGTTCTCCTCATTGTTTGGGTTAGGTTTGGTTCCAAAACCGACGAGCAAAGGAGAAGCGGTTGAAAAAGGATGCGGGTCGCCACCGCTGGACTCAGTTTTACAAAAGTGTCAAACGCAGCAGAGGAGGAGCCAAAGTGGAGAAGGAGAGCTCTGCTGATGACGCGGGGCTCAGCGACAGCGAGCTCAGCTTCAGAGGTGCGTGTCCCCGTTTTCTCCCTGAGAGAGACTTCCCCAAAAGGAGCCGTCAGAGGGGTGCGCTAATGGGATTAAGGAAGCTTTCAAGCCGCTAAATGACATGAGGGCACCAGAAATTGAATGTGTCTTTGAGGCATTTCATTAGTTCCCCTGCATTCCTCCTTGCAGAATGATGCTCTGCAGTAGATCCAAAACAGCATCCTTTTACTTCACATTTCCCCCAAAGCCGCTGACGCCTCTCCATCTCCATGATGGAACTCACTGAAAATGACCGAGGGCCCTTTGTGGGACACAAATACTACTTTAGACATCCTTCTGTTGTTTAATATTCGCGTACCCCATTCTGGATAGTCATAAAAGTGTCCGAGCAACTTAAAAAAAAGAAAAGTTATTTTTATGAGAAATGAAAAGATGGTGACAGAAACTCTATAAAGCATGGGAGGCTTTTAGTCCATTAGGGAGAAAGAGCTCTGGAGCTCTGTTGAAGCTGAAGCCACCCGGGGATCGATGGAGATGGAAACAAATATTTTGGGCTGCAGTAATTGCACACTTACAGTCATGGGGTAGATTTCAAAGAGGAGGGGGGGGGTCCACACTGTTGTACTGTACAGTAGTGTAAGGAAAAGAATGTTTCTTAGTCCTTTTACAAACATATCCCTGGGTAACTGCATGTAACTAAACCTTTGACTTCATTTCTCTGTAGAAGAACCTATAAGTAGTTTGATTTTCTACACTTATTGGAGGTTCATCCAATAAGTCCTTATTTAAGATGTTTTTACTAATGATTTAATTCAACATTTTTCCATGTTTGAAGAGAAAAAATAACATTCTCACCAACAGAGCTGCTGTGTTTTTGGTAGAACATGAACTGTGATTAGTGTTTCCCGGTAAAAAAGCACGTCACGTGCACAGTGGTGCTGTTGCACGTGTCCCGGTTGTAACGGCCGGTGCCCTGTGGCCCCTCCCCCCACAGACGACCAGGTGCTGTCGGACCTGGGCCACGCCAACGGGCTGTACGGCAGCGTGGGCGACGTGACGGCCGGCGGCGTGCTGACCGCCGGCTTCTCGGTGGACGCCAGCGGTCAGGCCTACCACGACATCCGGGCGGGCAGCCCCTACGGCCTGCCCCAGTCCCCGTCCTCCATCGCCTCGCTGCCCGGCCACACGCCGCTCCTCAACAGCCTGGGCTTCAGCATGGACAGTCTGGTGGCGGCGGGGGGGCCGGGGGGCGTGGGCCAGGCCCTCAGGGCCATGGCGGGGGGGCCCACCTCAGACCTCTCCACAGGCAGCAGCACGGGGTACCCGGATTTCCCCACCAGCCCGGCCTCCTGGCTGGACGAGATGGACCATTCCCAGTTCTGAGCGCAGCATGCTGGGAAACGGCCAAACGGACTCCAGACGTCTTTTCTAAGCTCCTTTGTAAAACCCTCTCACACTGGTGTTTGTGGGGAGAGAGGCGTGGCTTCAGAACTCTGAGGCCGTCCGGACACAATCAGTGAACAACAACCCAACAAGCCTCATCTGGTTTTTACCATCACCTGTCTCTCTTTTGTCACCTCACTCTTTAGAATCCAAACTAAATTTCCAATACGACGATGGCTAATGTTCACGGGAAACACAGCGTGGTCTCCCTCCTGAAACAGCTCCGGGGTCCAGACAGGACCCCCGCCGGCCCCCGCATGTGAGCACCTCACAGCCCCCACAGTGGAAACGCACTTTACTCTCCTCTCCCTTTTTGTACCGGGGGGGACAGGAACGCAGAAGAGAGGCACATGCACAAGGCAAGAACACAGCGTTTCAACGGGAGAGAAATTTACAAGCGCAGTGGCACAAGTGCGAGTTTTGAAACATGCTGGTGTTTTTTTTTAATGTATTGCTGAAGCTTCAAAGTGTTTAGAAAAGTAGCTGGTGGTCGGTTTGTGCGTCGGTGTGTCCGTAGAAGTTGTGATCTCTCCTGTGTGAGTCTGGCTGGAGGCGGGTCTCTGCTGAAGGCCCTGGATCTGGAGCCGTTCCGGTCTGTGCTAAAGCTGTTTTAGAACACGTCAGTATTAACTTAACTCAGACCAGGACCCGCTCAGAAACGGAACTAATGAGTGTGAGGAGAGCAGAGACATTCTAGGTTTGGAGTTTCATAACTAAAGCACCCTATTTACAGATCACACTTTCAAATTCACTTTTGTCTTTTGAATGCACAAATGTATGACAAAGAAATATCCCATCCAGAAAATGCAGATTCCTTTTCACATGGTGAGCGATTTGTATCAAAAGGTGAATTTGTCATTCATAACACCAACAAGTATTAGCAGAACACTGATAAAAGATAAAACTCCCTTTGTGCCGGCTCTCTTGGGTCTGATCCAGGCTTGTCTTGATAATCTTCTCAGTCCAGCAGCTTTAGCTTTGCCTGTTATCAACCTATTTCCCCCCCCCCCCCCCCGGCCCGCCCCCCCGGGGCTCCACCCCCCCCCCCCCCACACCCCCCGCTGGAGCTCGGTGCTGTTTCTGACAGAACGGGCTGTTTGTCCCGTCACCCACACAGCAGACCAAACACACCGCTAAGCTGTGAGGGAATCTTTCAGCTTAAGATGAAACTGTGGAGCATGCCAGAAGCAGTGGCTGTTTATCGGGGAGTTTTCTTCAGAATTCTAAGCTCCCGACTCCTTGCTTCTGCTCATGCTCTGCTGTTGTTTTTACTGATGTGGGTCCTTTTTTGGGAGGAAAAATGAAAAAATTGCCAAGTCTTTTATTTACAAGAATGCAAATCAACAGACAGGAAGTGACATCAATATGAAAAACCGGATTACAGCCCACAAATTACACTATAATAATAATATGAATAGAACTATACCTGGATCAATATGTAAGTAAAGAGAACAACATACGAGTTTGTCAGTGTCAGGTATCTTGTTTAAAACACATTCACTTCTGAAAATACTTTTTAAAAACAATACTTTTAGGATAGTTTGAAATATTATTTGTTTTAATTATGTTTTACCTCTGACTGCAAAGAACAAATTAAGTTAACAATTAATTTATATATTTATTAATTCAGTATTTGCTGTTTCTTAACAAATGATCAGATACTGAAAGATCATTTAGAAATGTGTGTTTTTTGTTTTTCTGGGCCAAGATGCTGCAAAATGTTAAATTGTTTTAATCTTAATGATAATTTCTAAACATTAGCAAAGTAATTAACAAGGTTTACAATTATGATACATTTCTATAAATCCCCAAATGCAATTTATTTTCCCACTTACTCCTCGTTTTCTGTTTTTATGCCATGAGAACCCAGAGAGGGTTTCACTGCTCCCTCATTTGTACATTATTGAAAAACTAATTTGTTGGCTGCAATCTAAAGTTTTTCGTGATAATAAGAAATAAAAACACTATCGTCACAGTTTTTTTAAGTCTGTGTTGCCTCAGAAGTTTGCATCTTACTGTTGTAAATTTTGTACAGTTTGAAAAACGTGTTGATCGTCTTGTTTCATGAGCGCTATTTATTATTGCCATGTGTCTTTGAAAAAGATGTAAAAGAGAGCACTGAATTTATTCATTTATGCCTTCTGTGTAATGGTATGAACTGTGTACAGTCAAATCTATATGAGGAAAATAAAGCTGAACTGTCTTTGGATACCCTGAAGTGCTTTCCTCTCTGGTGCTCAGAGCTCCCGGTGATGAATGTGAGAGTTAAGATTTTCAGCTGGGCTTTATTTTTAATGCATCATAAGACAAATATGTGCTGTTGGTGTTTTTTATTATTTTGCCTTATTGAAACGCTCTTAGAGCCAGTTAACCCGCAAATTCATTTACCCATTGAAGGCATTTACCACACACTTAGGCCTCTATTCAATTGTGGAGATCCATTTAGTACCACCAAGAGACAGTGGTCAGTCAGTTAACAGTGATTGATGCTGTTTTCCTCTCTCGCTCTCAGAGTGGGGTGACAAGAAAGATGCATGAAGAGAGACAATCAGGAGAGAGGGGAGAGGAATAAAACAAGTGCAGAAACAGATGTCTTGCTGGCTGTTCCTCTGATCCTATCAGAGCAGAGGAGAGCCGGCGGCAGATTGCTAGCCTTAATCCCCGGGCTGTTAACTAATTGTAGAGCGCTTTGGGAAAATATGTTTTGTAGTCAGGCAAAGAGAAAATTTGGCTCATATGGGTTGGTTGGCTTGTATGTCAGTGTGTCAAACTGGTCAGAAGATCACACAGAGAATTGTATTCAGAGATTTTAACCAGTTGGCCGGTTAACAATTTCCCAGGCAGAAGTTAGCATTCAATATGAGTCTCAAAAAAAGTAAACTATTCATTTTTATAAAATTATTTAATTGTTCTGTTCATAATGAAGTTATATCTAATTGTTTTTTTTATTCTAGAAGAAGTAAAAAAAATTGAAAAAAAATCATAATCACAAAAAAATCCAATGCAGTATCCATAATTTAAGATGTTGATTTTGAGGCATTCCTGTGTTTGAATGATCCACTAGTACACTTTCCTGTACTATAGGCTCCAACAGTCCAGGTGTTAAGTTCACATCTGGCTTATGAAGTGAATGTGATCTAATCTCTCACGGCTAACGGCTGAAGTGGTAACTATCTATCAGCACTCTATTGACAACCCAACGGACACCTTACTGTCCGGGGGGGTGCAGGATATAAGGGTTATTAAAGGTGGCAGCAGGTTTGTCTCCTCACAGACAAACGCACACTTATTGGCTGTACTGTTCTTCATGGAGGCTGAAGACAGCCTCTACTAATAACTCCCAGATAAAAAGAGACTAAATTGATTCATTACACATGTCCAAAAGCAGGTCAGATATAGTTCCCCTGCTCCAGCTATAAGGGCTGACACCTGGAACTATTCGAAATGTAAGAGACCTGTTTAGTTACCCTTTAGAATTAAGATTCATGTAGTAGTAATATTTTTTTCCCTTCAGTGGTATCCTGGATTATCAGTTGTTAAATGGCCCGTTTTAGTCAATTTGTGTTTTAAAAATCAGCCTTTTCCTGCCAGGTTCGGTTGTAGCTATGGTGCTCATACACCTGCTGGAGGACTGAGATCTGTCAGGATGTGTTTGGATCTGCTCCCTGTGACTCCGGGGCGGGCTGAGTGTGTGTGGGTTTATTATGAAATTACATCATGGTGCACATCTGGATGAAACTCATTTCTTTACGGCATTGTGAGGAATTTGTCTGAGAGCAAAACATTGTAACACAAACCTAAGTGTTATCGATTCCTTTGTTTTAGCTGTTCTTGTTGCATTAGGGAAACAAAAAGCAAACACTTTGCCTGGTTGGAGTTTGCACATTTGAATAAAATGCCACAAATTGAGCGGATTTTTATTTAAACATTGATTGGCTGTGCTATGGGCATTAATGGATGGGCTCTAATAGAACGGGCTTACAAAGATAAAGAGCCACACAGACAGTTAGGATAATTTACACGCCACTTACAGCACTAGTATACAAATAAATCTGTGGAAACCCCACCACTGTTGCTTTTGCGAAGATGACAAACACAAGCACAAATGCCATTATCATCGATCGCCGGGCTTTTATTACCAACTTCCTGAAGGAAACAGTTATTTTCTTCCATCCAAAGAAAAAGGGAATAAATAAACATGCAAAACAGAGAGGATTTGTTGTGCACTGACAGTCAATCTTGTGGCACGGAGAAAGGGCATTTTTCTCCTCCTCCGGCCGACCCTGAAGTGAACAGCGATGTGCAGGATGACTGAGTGAGTCTTAAACAGATGCTGGAGTCAAACAGAGGCCTCTCAATGACACCCTCAAGGTTGGGAGCTGTTTCAATTTGAAACTCAGATTTTTCCACTAAATAGTCCCTTGAGCTGCAGGGATCAGACAGATTACAGGTAACAGGTAAACTATGACAACTACCAGAATGAGATGGTTCTATATCCGTTGTTTTGGAGGTGTTTTTTTTCCCTCTGTGGCTGTGTTGTGACATCTCCTGCACACGAGGCCACACAGCAGTTTGTTGGCTCAATTAAATTCTGAAAGCCCACATCTTTATGGGTTGTGGACAGTGCAAGTGCTGGGTCATCATGAGTAACTCCACATAGAGCTCCAATGCCAAGCATCCCACACATTAGAGGGAAGTGTTTCCATCACGCAGGATTTCTGCTTACCGATGGCTTCTCCACCTCCGTGGTGAGGCTGAGTATGGAGGGATAACAGCTTAAAGGAAAGATGGAGGATGGACTGCAGGGAAGTAAACGACGGAATTGAGCACAGGCCAAAATTAAAAGATGATGTGGCTTTTGTAATGGATCAAAAGAGACAACAGGAAAGAGGAAGTGGAAGAGAAGAGAAGAGAACCAGCGTATGGAATCATGTCCAAAG